ATCAGCGAACCCAATCTTAATTCTCCTAGCAAGTTTCACCATACCTCAAAATTGCCCTGCAACATTTTTCCACCTTCTTTAAGAAATTTCCACACAAGGGCAGGCAGCACCCTACAGCATTATGCTGACTTTGAGAATTTATATGCAGAGAAAAAAAAATGCATATACAGGTAGTCCTCGACTTACAACAGTTCGTTTAGTGCCCTTTCAAAATTACAGCGGCAATGAAAAAAAGTGACTTATTACTATTTTTCACACCTATGACCGTTGCAGCAGCATCATGGTCACGTCATCCAAATTCAGATGCTTGACAAATGATTCATATTTATGACGGTTGCAATGTCCCGGGGTCATATGATCCTTTTTGCAACCTTTTGACAAGCAATGTCAATGGGGAAACCAGATTCATTTAATATTGTGTTACTACCGTATTTTTCAGAGTATAAAACACACTACCTTTTTTGGTGAGGAAAACAAGAAAAAGAAATTTGCCCCGCCTCTGCCTCCCAGCAATTTTGCCTCGTTGCAGCAAACAGCAAACAGCCTGCTTTACTTTCATTCTCGTTTTCAGCATAGCTTGATTAGCACAAGAAAAAAAAAATCTGCTCCAGCAATTTACCTCCTTGCAGCAAGCACCAGAGGCCTGTGCAAAACAGCTGAGAATCAGGAGGCCGATCCAAGGGACAATCAACTTGTGCTAATTAGGCTGTGTTGAAGCTGAAATGAGCTGTTTCTTTTTGCTGCTTGCTGCAACGAGGTAAACTGCTGGGAGGCAGAGGCCAAAGGGTGGGGGCCAGTGGGTGGGCGGGGCTACATTCTGTGTATAAGACGCACCTAAAATTTCATCCCCTTTTAGGGGTGAAAAAGGTGCGTCTTATACTCCAAAAAATTCACTTGATTCACTTAACAACTGTGGCAAGAAAAGTTATAAAAGGGGGCAAAACTCACTTAACAATTTTTTTCACTTAGCAACATAAATTTTGGGGTCAATGGTGGTCATAAGTTGAGGACTATACATAAAAGGAGTTTTCCCTAATACCAGTAGTTTAGGGATGTTTTTACAAAATGCCCAACCAGAAAAGCACACACCATGTATGGAAAACATGGAGGTGGGCTTAACAATTTGGGTTTCTTTTCCCCCTTTCAGTTTGGCTTAGAGGCAAAGGGAGTTTGTGGCTCCTGGAACTGCTGTAACTCAGGGCACAGGTCAAGAACAAATGGATGGCATATTTTGTGCTCACCTTTTGGTTAGTTTGAGGGATTGGCTTTATGGTATTCTTGCTTGTCCTCAGAGTTCCAAGGAGTGGAATAATCTCAGCTCTGTTTCCAAATTTAGTGGGGGTGGTAGAATGGGACTGGGAAGTAGAATTGATGCTCTGCAAAAGTTCTGTAAAATTGAGGTAGTTTAATCAAGCACTTGTACATCCCATCAAAGGGAGCTGCCTAACTATTCAGAGTATTATTTTATGCATATGGTTCTTGTAAACAGCTGCATTCCTGGGTTCCACCTCCCTCTTATCTCCAAGGTTGCACACAGAAATGGATGAGCTTATGAAGCATAATTGTTAAATCTGAGCCAGCTGCAAGATGCAAGAATATTGCTTGCATAGGAAAAGATCCAACTGTTCATGTAGGTGGCTCTTACCTTTGGCCAGGTTATAACAACTCCATGATAGTTGGATGCAATGTTTAATACTCCCTGTTAATTGCCTTTAGCGTTATGATGTAGGATGTACTACTATAGCTGTTGACAAGCTCCATTCAGATCTAAGTTCAGCCAAGTGCTTACTGCTTAGCCTTAGGCATGTTGCTCCCATTCAGCTTTCACCAGCCCTCTATAATCATTAAGGCTATGCAGCAATCCAGGTTCAAAGGTCTACACTGAATTTTGAGTATACATGGGTGGTGCACATAGCTCTTATTGTGAATACCAATTCCTGGAATTGTATGTGACTGAAATCAGGTATAAATGTAATAAATAATAATAAGTAGGATATGTCAGGGCAAGAATATTGGTTATACACTTGTGGGAGGCGGGGTAAATTTAAAAATGAGAGGAACCCCTTTCTCCAGTTTAATGAGAACTCAATAGAGTTATTAAGAGAGGTGTAGCAGAAACATGGAAATGTTGGAAATCTCGTCTTGTCTCCTGGGATATTCATATCTGGACCTTACCTCTTGCTACTTATAGCTGGGCAATTCTCACTGCTTCCCAAGCAATACTTTATGGACTAGGGGTGGGTACTACTTAGCTTTACTACCGGTGTGCAACGGAGCCGTGCACATGCGCAGAAGCATTTTCATGATGTCAGGGTCAGTGGGTGGGGCCTCCTGCCGGTTTTACTACCGGTTCTATAGAACTGGTGCGAACCGGGGACAACCCACCACTGTTATGGACATCTTCACAGTCCTGTTATGTGTATGAAAGGGGGTTTTCATCACCTATCTTGTCTTGCTGACAATAGCAATCAGGAAAAAAAAATTAAATTCTATAGTGCAACCTGCTGGCCATTGGGGGAAGAGGGAATGACCTTGAGGGATAGGAGGAAGAGCTGCTACCAAGGCCATGGGCAGATAAAAGAGGCCTCAGCCCAGAGCAAGAATGTAGTGTGTGTAAATGTCTCAGACAAACCCTTCCCTAGTTCTCAAGAAGATAAAAGGAGGGAGATGTATTCAGAGTTGCAAGATTCTGTTATTGTAATAATAGATAGTCCTTGTTTAAAAACCATTCATTCAACCATTCAAAGTTACGATGGGGCGGAATGAGGTGGACCAGCTTGCATGTCACTGCATACTGCGGTCCCATGATTGCCACCTGTGATCTTCACTGTCGACTTCTGACAAACAAAGTCAATGGAGAAGCCAGCAGGAGGTCTCAAATGCTGAGTACATACCACAGGACATTGTAACCTTTGCAAGATTCAGCAACTGGGATTGCCAGAACTGCTGTCACAAGTCAGTGTTGTCATCTAACGTACTTTACAACTGAGTCACTTAGCAACAGAGTTTCCAATTCCAATTACTATTGGCAAGTGAGGACTACCTGTGTACAAACCTCTATTTACTATAAAAAGACTGTAGTCTTCAACTTACAACCACAATTGAGCCCAAAATTTATGTTGCTAAGCGAGAAATTGGTTAAGTGAGTATTGTCCCATTTTGCGACTTCTCTTGCCACGTTTATAAATTGAATCACTGCAGTTGTTAAATTAGTAACATGGTTGTTAAGTGAATCCCGCTTCCCCAATGGCTTTGCTTGTCAGAAGGTCTCAAAAGGGGATCACTTGACCGTGGGGACACTGCAACCGTCATAAATGTGAATCAATTGTCAAGCATCTGAATGTAAATTACGTGACCATGGGGATGCTGCAGTGGTCATAAGTGCAAAAAATTGAAGTAAGTCACATTTTTTTCAGTGCCGTTGTAACTTTGATCACCAAGCAAACTCTTGTGAATCGAGAACTACCTATATTTCTTTGATCAAAAAAGAAAAATTTGCTGGTTGAAGTTCTGTGCTCTCCAGTAGACAAAGAAGAAAGGGCCAAGAGGCTAGTTCAATTTTTTTCCAGAAAGTCAAGGTCCAGAAAAAGATTCCACTGTACTTCCGTAGCAGTAACCAAAGATTGTCTGAAAGAGAATCACCTGTGAGTTTCTATTGAGGACAATAGACTTTGGGTTTTCCTGGTTCTAATCTAATTAGACATTTATGGTTGATCAAAATCCTTCAATATTAACTAGTTTAAGAGATATTGTCTGAAGTAACACATTATATTAAATCATTATGTGGATTTCTCTCTAAACGTATTTGGAAGGTAGGAAAGTGTTTATGTTTTGACGTACAACCACATAGGAAACTAATGCTGAATTATCCAAATTTGAAAATAGAGAAGAGGATCTTGAATGTCTGGACCAAACAAAGGATAAAATACCTTAAGTCAGTTGATTTTTAGTAGTTGTTTTAAATATTTTGAGAGATTGTATTCTGAATATGATTTACCCATAACATCTGTTTGGCAGTATATATTGTTGAAACATGTACTGACAAAACAGCACAACCCAGATGCTTTTAGCAGTTTTAGACGTACCTGAGTCTTGAGATTCTTAAGAGATGCAGCACTTAAAGTGAACCCAACAATTCAGTTTTATATGGAATTTAAAAAATAGAAGGAAGACTAGCTTTAATTATATATCTGTACTGTGGAATGAAGAATTGGAATATTCAATTTTGGAAAAATCAAAGGGTGCAGCTTTTTAAATAAAGTGTAAACATACTTATTATTATTTTTAAGAATTTAAGAAATTCAACAGAACATATTATTTTATGCATACCGGACTCCTCAAATAAAGTTTTTAAAAGGTTGGACATTAGATTTTTTTTTGTACTGGCATTATAAATATTTTTAACATCATTTTGAAAAGAAATGGAATGTAAATGAAATATTTATTATATTCCTAAAGAAAGGAATTTGGTGTTTTATGAAGAGGTTTGGCTATACCCTAAACCTAGGGCTTGGTAAAGTGAATGATCTTATATAATTTAAATAAAACTTATCCTCCTGATATTAAAGAATTGATTCAGAATATGAGCATGAGTCCGTTATCTATCTTTGAAATCTTTTTATTCCAAAAACAAGAAGGCGAAGCAATATGTTTCTATATGGTCTAGATTTAATGATAAACTTAAAGACTGATATAATCTCATATCAACATGAAATGAATTTTACATGCATTTGGATCTTTTAAAACCGACTCTTTTTATTTTCTGTTCTGTTATATTTAGTTTATTTTCATCATTATACAACATACAGAGTTTTTGTAACTTAGCTATTAAGTACCCTTTTATGTTGATGTTGCACTTCTTTGTGTTTCAGTATTTGATCATTTTTTTAAAAATTTAAAAATATCTAAATTTCATAACCTGAAGATGAGCTCGATTCATCAGAGGCTTTTCCTTTAATATTGATTGCAATTCTGTTCTGATTTTTCTCCTCCCGTTCCAGTCTCCATGGGGGCCTGTCAGGGGAACTTCAGTGATCTGTCTGGAGTGATCTACTCTCCGCAGTTCCCAGATGACTATGAGGCCAACAGCAACTGCAGCTGGGTCCTTTATCCTGCAGGTTATGATTCTATAGAACTCAGCTTCCAGATCTTTGATGTGCGTGATCCAAACGACCGCCTAGAGGTCCGGGATGGACACAGCAATCTTTTACTGGCCCACTTTGATGGGCGCCGAAGGCCAGCTGCACCTCTGCTGTTCCCCACGGACTGTCTTTCTCTCTCCTTCCAATCAGACCAGTTTCTGCAAGCCCAAGGCTTTGCCATCTTGTATCGAGGTAGGCACTGAATTGGCTTTCTGGATGATGCGGTCACCTGACTAAAATGTTAGAGGAAAGTTCTAAAACTTATATGATGATGTTATTTCTCTTTCCACCTCCCCTTCTGTCTCCCAAGTGGCCCTGCTCACAGAGGGGGACAGGGAAGACCATCTTAGCAAGATGAATGAAGTCAACTTTTCAGGCAGTGTAACCATAGATACCTTTGACCTGTGTGATGGATTGTACTCACTTGTACTAGTGACATCTTACCCTTGCACTCTGGGCTCAATCCAATGCCTGTAATCTTTTTTTCTTGTGCTTGTTTCCCAATTAGTAGATTCTAGATCCATATGTGTTAGGAGTAGAGATGTTCTGTCTTGGTACATATTTCAGGATTTCTTGAGAAACACCAGAAATCTATTACCAAATTTATTTAGCAAATTTATTGCTATCTGGCCTGTATGAAAAATGTTTCTCAATCAATCAATCAGAATAGAACTGGAAGGTACCTTAAAGGTTTTCTAGTCCAACTCCCTTCTCAAGCAGGAAACCCTGTACCATTTTAGATAAATGGCTGTCCAGTCTCTTCTTAAAAGCCTCCAGTGATGGAGCACCCACAATTTCTGAAAGCAAGCTGTTCCATTGGTTAATTGTCCTTGCTTTTAGGAAGTTTCTCCTTAATTCCAGATTGCTTCTGTCCTTGATTAGTTTCCATCATTTCTTATCTTGCCTTCTGGTGCTCTGGAAAATAAGTTGACCCCTCTTCTTCATGGCAACTCCTCAAATACTGGAATACTGGCTATTATACCACCCCTAGTCTTTCTTTTCTCCAGACTAGCCATACCCAGTTCCTGCAACCATTCTTCATAAGTTTCAGTCTCCAGGCCTTTCATCATCCTACCTGCTATTCTCTGCACTTTTTCCAAAGTCTCAACATCTTTTTTGTAATGTCCTCAAATTTTTTAATTACCTTTTTTTCTAATTACGTTTTTACATTTAGTTTAATTAATTTTTGTAATATATCCCCAAAGGTTAATGTAGGCCAGTTTCTATTGACATCCCTTTGAATCTTTCTTTGGCCCAGATCAGTAATCTGATCAGTAATCTCTATTAAAAGAGATCTCTGTGTCCCCAGAGATCTCTTTTAATAGAGATGGCCAGAGCTGAATTTGGAAAGCTAGGAGGCACAATTGTGCCAGGCTTTCACAAGATATGGTTTGGTCTTTGAAATGAGTGGTTGGATCAGTAGTTTTCATCCTAGTAATAAATAAAAATATATCTCTAGGTATTCACATTTATGGGGCCACTAATTTCAATGGGGGAAAAAAAGCTAAATTGATATATTGTGCATTGAGAAGAAAAAATCAGATGGACATTTTGCTGTTGAGCATCTCCAAATCTTAAAGACTCTTTGATCTGGCTGCTTTTGCAGTGAAGTTTTTGCTTGGTTGGGTGATTTAATTTCTTGTATTTTATTCAACCTTTCTGTAAAGCAGCAGTCCAGAGCTTCCACTAACTGAAAAATGGGTTCTCTGTATGGGGAAGACTCTAGGGGTTCAAAAAAGTTACTAATAAACTGCATTTGTTGCATTTATTGCATTTGTGCAACCTGGCTTTATTACAGCTCTCATCAATGCAAAATTGGTGAGGCTGGCGTTACCATTTAACATATCAGGAAAGCCTGAGATTTTGATAAGAAGTTAAGCTGAACATCCGCTATAAAGTCCTTCATGATTCTGATTTCCTTCTAGGATTGAAAGCTTCCTCGGTCAATTTACGGACCCTTCCAGGGGATGGATCCCGTCTGACCCCTACCTCTTCTGATTGGCTGAACTCAACCTGGACCTACAGTGCCAATGACTCTGCCATTGGGGTAGGAGGTAAAGGACTAGATTAGAGGGGGCATATTATACTGTGCAGCTGTTATATGTTATATAAACAGATTCTTTGACACTGTAGATTTGCCCTGGACCAAGGAACCCATTCTAGTTATGCCTGCTAAGAGAACCAGAGTGCCCTTAAATTTACAATATTTGAAAGAGTGGAATTCGAAGCAGAGAATTCATTTGCAAAATTATTTTTCCTATCTGTTTCTTTCTTCTGAATCTAGGGTGAGCCAACTGTATGTACCACTAGTGGGCATGCATCTTCAGACTAATTTTTTTAGAAGAATCACCAGATCACAGTACTTAAAACTGCCCCTGCCTGATTTTGCTCTTAAAATATGCATAATAGATGAGGCATAGCAAGGTTTAATCTACTTTTTTCCTCATTTTTAAAGCCTTTTAAAGCCTTCCAGGCTTGGAAAAATGTAAAGGAGATTTCAATCCCATCTCTAGTGACAGTATATAGGCTTTGTTATATATATATCTCCCCTAGGTTTGTCTACAGCTAAAAATGTTGCCTTTCCATCTTCTTCCTGTCATAATTTTATTTTTATTCAAAAGAAAGTTAAAATACAAAACTCCCCCCCCAAGAAAGGACAAAAAACACAAAACAATCAAGACATTTAAAAAATCCATCAAAAAGAATTTTTTTTAAAAAAAAAACCCAACACATACCAACATATTATCCCTCCTAACTGAATGTTGATTAATACATTAATACATTCTATCCATCTTCTAAATCAGTGTTTCCCAATCTCAGTACCTTGAAGATTTGTGGACTTCAATATCCAGAATTCCCCAGCCAACAGCATTGGCTGGAGAATTCTGGGAGTTGAAGTCCATACATCTTCAAGTGGCCAAGATTGAGAAATACCGTTCTAAGCAGAGCACTCTTTCAGCATTTTCTCCCACAGTGATGATGTTTGGATATATTCAAGGCTGATAATTTGGAATGGAGCAACAAGTATGGATGGAAAGCAGATCCCCAACCTTGCATTCTCCCTATTGATTCTTTGCAGAATATCTTTTTCCCATAAATAGTTCCTGGCTGAAACAAAGAAACAGAAACCCACTGGGGAGCTCTAAAACTTATTCCAAAAGTATCTAAAACATATTTTTCAAATGGAGAGAAGGAACATTTGAGGAACGGGTTCTTTTCACGTTTTTATACAAACCATTCCTTCTTTTGCCGATTATGAATTGAAGCAAGGCTATCTACAGGTAGTCTTCGACTTATGACCCCAATAGAGCCCAAAATTTTGCTTGTTAAGTAAGACATTTGTTAAGTGAGCTTGCTCCATTTTATGATCTTTCTTGCCACAGTTGTTAAGTGAATCGCTGCAGTTGCTAATTAAGTAGCATGGTTGTTAAGTGAATCTGGCTTCCCCATTGACTTTGCTTGTCAAAGGGTTGCAAAAGGTGACCACGTGACCTTGGGAAATAGCAATGGTCATAAGTTATGAAACAGCTGCCAAGAATCTGAATTTTGATCACATGGGGATGCTACAAAGTTTTAACTGTGAAAAACGGCCATGAGTCACTTTTTTCAATGCCATTGTAACTTTGAACGGTCACTAAATGAAATGTTGTAAGTCAAGGACTATCTGTATTCTCTCGTTGCCACACATTTGGAATGTGTATTTTTCTAAATGAGTTCGTACCAGGTAGTTCTCAACTTCTGACCGGTCGGTTAGCAACTGTTTGAAGTTACAATAGACCTACCAGAGGGGGCTACTTATGACCAGGTTCAAAGTTCTGATGATTGCCCCCCCCACATGGTCATGTGACCCAACTTTGGGTGCTTAGCAACCAGGTTGCATTTATGGTTTTTGCATAAACCGTGGTTGTACCACTGTGATTTTGCCAAAACCCAGTATTTACCTTTGGTTTTTGGCCAAACTGCACCCATAGTAAACCATTGCTGATGTTTCACTCAATGACTAGAGCAATAAAAGGTCATAAAATCAGATCAGTTTTGTGACAGATTCTTTTTTTTACAACCATCACGACTTATGACCATGATGGGCAGCTCCATTATGATCATAAGTCAAGGACTGCCTGTAAAGGAATATTTGAAAGAAAATATGTAATTATTTAAATATTTAGTGCTCTGTAAAATTAGACGCAGGATAAACAAAAAAAAAAACACACACTGAAAAGGGATACAGTCATTGTAAACAGATAATCGTGTTAGGGAGAAGAAACAGGTTGATGTGCAGCTCAACTTTTCCTAATACGGTCTCTCTCCAGATGTGCCAGCACAGCAACTCCCCTAATCCCCTGGTCAGCTTGTGGGAAGATGAAATTGGGGCATCACAGTCTTGCAATCGACCACTGCAGCAATGTTTCTCAACCTTGGCATCTTGGAAATGTGTGGATTTTTCAAATCCCAGAACTCCTCAGCCTGGGAGTTGAAGTCCACACATTTTCAAATTGCCAGGATTGAGAAACATTGCATTAGAGGTTACCTCTTATTCTCATTCTGATATTTATTTTGTTTTATTTTATTTCTATCCTGCCTTTATTATTTTTATAAATAACTCAGGGCGGCAAACATATTCAACACACCTTCCTCCTGCTTTTTCCCACAAGAATAACCCTTGTGAGGTGGGTTGGGCTGAGAGAGAGAAAAAGTGTGACTGGCCCAAAGTTATCCAGCTGGCTTTCATGGCTAATGTGGTACTTGAACTCATGATTTTCTGCTTTTTAGCTTTGTGTCTTAATCATTGAATCAAACTGGCTCTCTATTCACTTTATATACACGTATACTTTATATACGTACAAAGTACATATCAGTGGTGAAATCCAAATTTTTTTACTACCGGTTCTGTGGGCGTGGTGTGGCTTGGTGGGTGTGGCAGGGGAAGGATACTGCAAAGTCTCCATTCCCACCCCACTCCATGGGAAGGATACTGCAAAATCCCCATTCTTCCCCACTCCTGGGGGAAGGATACTGCAAAATCCCCATTCCCTCCCCACTCCTGGGGGAAGGATATTGCAAAATCTCCATTCCCACTGTACTCTGGGGCCAGCCAGAGGTGGCATTTGCCGATTCTCCAAACTACTCAATATTTCCCCTACCGGTTCTCCAGAACCTGTTAGAACCTGCTGGATTTCACCCCGGTACATACGTATATAAAGTATGTATGTATATAAGTACCCTTTGTACTTCAAATTGGGTGAATGAACACCTCCAGGATCCTAGCAGATAACCTCTTATTTGGGACAAGACTTTGAATCTATTGCATGGGAAAATAACAAAAGCAAGATAAATCAGGTCTCTGTGCAAGAAAACAGGGCACGGTGAATGCAAAGTTAGCAAGTTCATAGATATGTGCTTATTTGGCACATCTTTTTCTGCTGCCTTTATGGGAATGGGAAAAGTGGTTTGGAAAACTCCCTTTTTGGCTTCTATTCAGCCTCTGCCTTACCTGATTTCAGTTCTACTAAAGTGTTGCTCTGCCAGTTTCAAATCTGTCAGTTAAGCCAGGGGGACTAAGAAGAACACACCAAGCCGAAGCCAAAATTTCTCAGCTTGGCATATACCTCCATGACGCAGTCAAAGAAGAATGGAATGCATGCTGTCAATAAAAGGGGCCTTCCTTTGGCTACGTTTCTGGTTGGCTTGTGTTCATGCAAACCTGGATGTGTGTATATATACATACCATACATAGAAGTATACTGGGTGACACATATTTTTATGGCAAGTATCTTCATTTCTGAAGTTTGTGCCACGTTCTTAGGAACATTGGCATCAGTAAATCACTCCTCTTGTCCATCAGGCTATCTGGGATTTTATATAATTGGGTGTCATCTTCTAGCCTTCTGTCTCCTCCAGAATAATGAGGTTGCTGCTCTGCATTATCTACCCCATCTGGAAGACATTGGTACTATTCAGTATATTAAATTTGGCACCACCTAGTGGCAGAGGTTTTGCAATTACAGATAGGCCAATAAAGGGTTTTAAAACTGCCCCAGTTAAGCCTAAGTGAACCTGGCTTGGAGTTCTGTGATCACTTCTTATTTTTATTTTTTTTTAGTTGCAGGAAATTAAGGGTCTTGAGTTCCAATATATTTGGAAAGCACCAGGTTGAGGAGGGCTGTTATGTTTAGCATGATTAATGGTTCAACATTTGTTGAACACACATTGATTTCTTCTGTTCTTTTGTGACACAGCTTGGGTGATGTACACGGCCACAGGCACCTTCATCTTAGCTATCATCATTGTCTCATATCATTTGCGCAAGAGGTAGGTCCGAGCTGACTGGGAGATGTGTAATTTGTTGTTCCAATTTCTTGGAGGAATGGAAGTCCAAACATCCCTGCTTGGAACAAGGAGTGGTGACTTCCTTTCCTGTTTTGCAGGATGAAAGGGAATAAATTTTGGAAAAAGTAATTTAAGGCCCAGAGATTGAAAATAAGGTGTATGAAGGCTACATGGGTACTGGCTAATTCCCTGAGCCCCATGAAAAAAAAGCACATCAAGCACATAAGTCCTTGATTTATGACCACTTATGACTTAAAAATAGGGAAGAAAATGGTAAGTGAGCATCAGGACCGGATGGATTACACTTCAAGATTCTGAAGGAACTGGCAGATAAGATCTCAGAACCACTGAATTATATCTTTTAAAGATCCTGGAGCACCAGGGAACTGCCAGAGGACTGATGTACCATATTTTTCGGAGTATAAGACGCACCTTCCCCCCTCTTAAAACGGGGTGAAAATTTAGGTGTGTCTTATACACCAAATGTAGCCCCGCCCACCCAGTGACCCCCACCCTGTGGCCACTGCCTCCCAGTAGTTTACCTCCTTGAAGCAAGCAGCAAGAAGAAACAGCTCCTTTCAGCTTCAGCACAGTCTAATTAGCAAAAGTTGATTGGATTGGCCTTCAAACTCTCAGCTGTTTTGCTCTCAGCTGTTTTGCCCAGGACTCTGCTGCTTGCTGCAAGGAGGTAAATTGCTGGAGCAGATTTTTTTTTTTCCTTGTACTAATTAAGCTATGCTGAAAACAAAAACGAAAGTAAAGCAGGCTGTTTGCTGTTTGCTGCAATGAGGCAAAATTGCTGGGAGTCAGAGGCAGATTTCTTTTTCTTGTTTTCCTCACCAAAAATGGTAGGTGCATCATATAGTCCGGTGCGTCTTATACTGTGAAAAATACAGTAGTTCCCATCTTCAAAAAAGGGGGAAAAAGTAGATCTAGGAAACTACAGACCTATCAGCCTGACCTCAATACCAGGGAAGAATCTGCAAAAGATAATCAAGCAATGAATCAGCAAACACCTAGAAGCAAACAAAAGCCAATATGGGTTTTTCAAAAACAGATCATGCCAGACTAATCTTATTGCATTATTTGACAAAGTGATAAAATTAGTGGACTAGACGAATGTTGATATAATTTACTTGGACTTCAGTAAGGCATTTGATAAAGTAGACCATAACCTATTCTTGATAAAATAGAAAAATGTGGGTTAGACAGCATCACCACCAGATGGATTCATAACTGGCTGACCAACTGCACTCAATGTGTAGTCCTCAATGGAACTGCATCTACATGGAGGGAAGTATGCAGTGGGGTACCCCAAGGCTCTGTTTTATGCCCAGTACTCTTCAACATTTTCATCAATGATTTGGGCGAGGGGTTAGATGGGGAACTCATCAAATTTGCAGACAACACCAAGCTAGCAGGAATAGCCAACACTCCAGAAGATAGGCTTAAGATACAGAAGGATCTTGACAGACTTGAACATTGGTCGCCATCTAAAAAAATGAAATTCAATGGTGAAAAAAGTCGGATTCTATATTTAGGCAAGAAAAACAAAATGCACAGGTTTTGTTATGTGATACCTTGCACAACAGTAGTAACATTGAGAGGGATGTTGGTGTCCTAGTGGACAATCACTTAAATATGAGTCAGCAGTGTGCAGCACCTGCCAAAAAAGCCAACACAGCTCTAGGCTGAATAAACAGAGGCATAGACTCAAGATCATGTGAAGTGTTAATACCAGTTTATAATGCCTTGGAAAGGCCATACTTGGAATACTGCATCCAGTTTTGGTCGCCACGATGAAAAAAAGATGTTGAGACTCTGGAAAGAGTGCAGAGAAGAGCATCAAAGATGATTAGGGGACTGGAGGCTAAAACATATGAAGAATGGTTGCAGGAACTGGGTATCTCTCATTTAATGAAAAGAAGGACTGAGATGAAATGATAGCAGTGTTCCAATATCTCAGGGGCTGCCAAAAAGAAGAGGGCGTCAAGCTATTCTCCTAAGCACCTGAGGGTAGGACAAAAAACAATGGATGAAAACTAGTCAAGGGGAGAGGCAACTTAGAACTAAGTGTTCTGTCCCCATCCCACGCACACACCCCCACAGATGGCCCGGAGTTAATAAGCCACACGACAAAATCTTTGAAGATAAAGCTGGCAGCAACCCAGTGGCTAACTGCCAATTCAGACTTTACTCATACAAAACAAAGATTAGACTGCAAGCATTCCGATAAAGCAGGCAAAGTTTCCGCAATACAAGGATTAGTCCAAATGCAGTCCGACAAGACAGGCAGAAGTCCAGTAACACAGAGATCATGGATTATTTCTAGTTTTTGCTCGTCACAAACTGAACTGGCCACTACACCCACATTTATACCCTGTGGGGTGTGGTCCAGTGACTCAGCTAATCTCTGGCATGCCTTCCCCTCTGCTGCGCACGCTTCTCCCTGCGCCTCTGCCGAGGGTCCAGCCAGCACTTATCTCCTTCGTCGCTGTCCACCTGTGGCTGCGGGGACGTGCTTGGCTCTGAACCTATCTTTTGGCCTTCGGTGTCCTCCGGAGGCATTGCCAGAGAGGAGGGTCCTGGAAAGGGAGGCCTTGCCAACTCCTCTCCCTCACTCTCAGAGTCTGCATCTGTCGATAGCCCAAGCTCAGGCAATGGAGCCACAACACTAAGAGAAATTTTCTGACAGTTAGAACAATTAATCAGTGGAACAATTTGTCTCCAGAAGTTGTGACTGCTCCAATACTGGAAGTTTTTAAGAAGAGATTGGACAACCATTTGTCTGAAATGGTATAGAGAGCAGGGAGTTGGACTAGAAGACCTCTGAGGTCCCTTCCAACTCTGTTATTCTGTTCCGTTATTTTGACTCTGTGCAATGTATTCATGCAAGTTACTGTGGATACTTGGTACTTTTGCTATAGTTGTGTTAAGCCCAAGTTTAGCATTTTCAGAACAAGTATTTTAGTTACACAATCATTTTGCTTCATTCATGGAACTTTAGGTATATAGAAATTGTTGCTTCTCTTCAAATGGTTTCTCACCTACCTAAAACAAACAAAAGAACTTTGCTAAGAAGAAAAGGACGAAATGCAGGCAGTCCTCAATTTATGACCACAACTGAGCCCAAAATCCCTGTTGCTAAGTGAAACATTTATTGTGAGCTTTGCCCCATTTTATGACCTTTAATGCCACAGTTGTTACGTGAATCACTACAACACAGTTGTTAAGTGAATCTGAATTCTCCCACTGACTTTGCTTTCAAAAGCTGTCTGGGAAGTTTACAAATAGTGACTGTGTGACGTCAGGACAATGCATCTGCCATAAATATATGCCAGTTGCCAAGTGCCCAAAATCTGATCATGTGGTCATGGTGATGCTGCAACAGTCATAAATGTGAAAGATGTTTAAATCACTTTTTTCGGTGTCATTGTAACTTCGAATGGTCACTAAACAAATGGGTATAAGTCAAGGACTACCTGTAATTGCATGATATATTTGATTGATGGAATTTGAGACCCTCGGTTTAGAAGCATGCTTTATCAGCTATAGCAAAAATGTGGAAATCAATTGGTTTCACTGATTTTATTTAGCTTCATATGAACTGGGTCCATTATCCTCCACATCCTGGTATATATTGTCTTGATTGGCCTGATGGAAGTGGTAGTCCAAGTACTATGAGGAGGCCTATGTTAAAGTTTGAATGGGCAACCAACATAGCCCCAGGACCTTTCCCCACTCCTGGGTTAAAGTGCTGTCCACCCATTTTTTCCCTGAATCAGCACAGAGGGGAAAGTAGTTGGCCAACATTTACTGCCCCGCCAGGACCATTCTCTCAACTACTTTTGGTATCTATTATCTTGGTTGCATCTGTCAAAGCTGCTGCTGAATGGCCTTGTTTTGATTTGTGAATGGGACAGTTGTTACAGGCAAGGCGATAAACTGTCTCCATTTGAATATGTGACCAGGGGTCTTGGAAATCATCTAGCACAGGGGTGTCAAACTCGCATTGTCACGGCAGCGTCACGTGACATATCGGGACTTTTTTCCCCTTAGCTAAACTGGGCGGGGCCAGCATGTGACGCATCCGGCCCCCGGGCCATGAGTTTGACATCCCTGATCTAGCAACATGGTGGGTGCAGCCGTGCAATCGAACTCGATCTCTTTCTATGTATGTGTGGCATTGATAAATGTATAAAACTGGGGAGGCCTTGATTGTGAGGAGCCGTGGTGACCCAATGGTTAGAATGCAGTATTGCAGGCTGACTCTGCTCACTGCCAGGAGTTCGATCCTGACCAACTCAAGGTTGACTCAGCCTTCCATCTTTCTGAGGTCAGTAAAATGAGGACCCAGATTGTTGGGGACAATATGCTAACTCTGTAAACCGCTTAGAGAGTGCTACAAAGCACTATGAAGTGGTATATAAGTCTTAAGCACTATTGCTAAGTGCAACTGTGAGGCCATCTTTTCTCTTTTGGCCCTGCCCTGTAGAAGCTGTGTGAAGGATATGGTTTCTGTTCTGTAGGCTGGTACTCCATTTGGCATCTCCCAAATCAAAATAATGTAAAATAAATGAACAAGTAAATGAGTGAATGGAAGACATCAGGATAGAAATAGTCTCAGGGATGAAACTGCAGGTAGCTATGTCCTGTAGAAAAAAGATCTGATGGACTAATTGTTGAGCAACTTCCAGAAGAGAAGAGAAATGATTAAAACTGACAAATACAGGGAAACTAGCAAATAAGCACCAGAAGCCCAGTTCAGCCTCTTTCTTTCTTCTCTGCATGAAGAAAAGCAAGACTTCTGCATGCTAAAATAAAGACATATTTCAGAATACAGCTAAAACAAGCAGGGATAAACATATCCCCACCTTCTCTTTCCTAGAAAATACTGGAAGGTGGCTGTCCTCTACTTTCCATTTTTGAGGTCAGTCTCAGATAGGGCTCCAGGAAGTAATGGGTATGAAAGAAGTTCAGAATAACAGAGTTGTAAGGGATATTGGAGGTCTTCTAGTCCAACCCTCTGCTCAAGCAGGAGACCTATACCATTTCAGACAAATGGATTGACCAATCTCTTCTTAAAAACCTCCAACTTCTGGAAGCAAGTTGTTCCACTGATTAATTGTTCTCACTGTCACCACAAGCCAAATAAATCTCTTTGGCTCATGGTGAATGAAAGAAGACCCAGCTACCCAGGGGTGAAATGCTACCAGTTCGCTCCTGTTCAGGCAAATCGGTAGTGATATAAACTATCACTATGCTTTAAAACGGTAAAAAAAAAGGTTCCGACGATTGCGTGGCACAGCTGATTGACAAAAACGCTTTTTAAAAAGTTGTGACGATCACAGCTGTGCCGCACGATCATCAGAACCTTTTTTTTACTTTGTTAAAGCATTTTTTTACTATCGGTTCCGGCGAATAGGTAGTAAAAAAAAGCTTTAAAAAAGTAAAAAAAAAGAAAAAGTTGGCCACGCCCATCCAGTCACATGACACCTCCCCCCACCAAGCCACGCCCACAGAACCGGTAGCAACAAATTTTACATTTCACCACTGCACCTACCCCAGAGATGACCCAACAGGTGGCATTTCACCCCCACCCCCAGGCTCAAGTTATAGCCAAACTCACTTAATTCAAGGAACTAAGCATTAATGAAGAGGACTGACCATTAAAGGTTGAGATGGAGGATGAAAAATGATCAGAGGGGAGGAGGCATACCAACATCTCCCCAAACTACTCTGATTGTCACATCTACAATCGGTCAATTGACCTTATCTCCAAAATAATGGATAACCCAAAGCTGTCAATTTTACATTTTGAAGCTGGTTCATTTATAAGGAAAAAGGCAGCTAAAGGCAATTTAGAAATGTACAGATAGTCTGTGTTTAGTTACCACAATTGTGACTCACAATTCAGTTGTTAAACTAAGTGGTCTCTAGCTAAAATCACCTTACAATCTTATTTTAGTTCTCCTTTGCTTTACAGACCTGCAAAGGTAAAAAAATGCAAAGACTGGTGCCAATTATTTTTTCATCACCATCGCAACCGTGAATGGTTGCTAAACAAGATAGTTGTTAAACAAATCTACCTGTATCGCTAACTGCCTGGGAAAGTGATGAAAAGTGATTTTCATGATTGTGCTCTGTAAGGGGCATTGGGCATGATTGCGTGGCTATTGCTGATATTTTGCTATCAGAGCTAGCTGGCCATGTCACCTGTTTTTCCCTCTTTTTCAGGACTTGTCTTTTTGTACAAAAGAAGACGGGGAATTCTTTAGTCCCATTCTCCTCCAAAGGGCCACGGAACCGTTGCCAGTGTCTTGGGGGTGAGGCATGGGCTGTAGCCTATCGACATACTCGTGTGGTGATCTGCACAACGCGTGGGGCCCCCCACCACCGTCCCCTGCACAATGGGAGTGGAGTTGCCGGGGGAGATGACGAGACGTCCTCCGATTGCTCGTGTCTGTGCCACAGCTATGAGAACCTTTCTTCCACCAACCAGTCCTCTCTCAAATCTCTCATCTCCACCATCTGAGGAGCTCAGATCCTGCAGTTTGTGACTTTTACTGCCAGATCAGTTAAAGCAGACCTTCCTTGGTTCATTAGGGACAAAAAGACTGGGACCTTACAGTGTTTAGTCACTCAAGATGGGCAGCTGTGGCTCTATGACATAGTGGAAGTCGAAGGTTTTAGGCTGAGAACCACATTCCAGAAAGCCAAAGGTCACTGGGTAGCAAGGCTCCGTAACAATATCCGCCACATCACAGCTTTCTTTGAGGCAGGAAAAGCCTGAGGGAGTGGAGACGCTCTTGCCACGTCTCCTTGGGGAAGACATGTCAGCTTAATTTAATCTCAAAGCAGCCTTTATGGCACTGGAATTTTGTAAAAAGGTCCTGTTGGACAAAGAGGACTGGTAGAAGCTCCCATTATACCAGAAATATTCCCCAATGGCATTATGGAGTAATGTAGATCTGTGTGACAACATACCTGTTCCTTATAACTGATGGAAGGGGGAAAACTTTGGAAGGAATGGAGGCCTGAGTATAGTATGCTTGATGAATTTTTGGACACTGACTAGGGAAAACCGGTTCTCATGTTGTGGTTGTATCATCAGTGAGACATTTAGCTGCAAATACTCCGAAGACCTCGAGACCCATGAAAACATTATTTACTTGGCATCAGGGAAGTTTCTAGAAACACCAAAGAATGAGGAAAAGGGAAACTAGCCGTCCTTTGTTCCACAGGTACAGGATGGATTTTGGAACTCGAAGCCTTCATTAAATTATTTTCATATTGTCAAGGATCCTTCTGTGTTATAAATCATCAGCTCTGTTGAGTTGTGGTTCACAGCTTGATAGATTTTCTGCTTTCCTGGACTGAGTAGGAGATACACTGGATTGTCCATTTTTCATTGAACATGGTTCATTTCTGTGAGTATTTTGTCATTAGTAGTGGGGAACCAAGCGATCTTGAATAAGAGGACAGGTTCTGGAAGAAAGTGAGGAACATTGGTACTTTCTCCTGACTTTTGCTAATCTGGTTTCAGATTCCTGGTTTCCTACTGGACCTGCAGTGTGTTTGGGAGGTAAGGTGTGGTCGGCTGTCCCTAAGGCTCTGTGAGCCCTGCAGCTGTAGCCAAGGCTTGGATGGCTATGCATCTATGCTGTTCTTAAAAAAAAAAAAGGTACAGAATATAGGGTGGCAACCAAAATCCTTAGGAGCCTTGAGCAATTCCCAAATAAGGTTGTTTTTTTTTTTTTTTTTTTTTTACAATGTTGGGATGAATTTCATGAGGAGGAGAAGGTGAGCAAGACAGGCAATGACTGTATAAAATTATGCAGAATGAATAATCACCAATAGTAGAAAATGAGAACATGCAGTGAAGCTGAACTGATAGAAGAAATACTAACTTTCTTCATGTCAATAGCAAATCCTAGCTAATGGGACAGAATCTGCTGCATATAAATAGTGTGTTATTTTATTGAATCATAGACTAGATTGGTGGTGATGAGGCTGTTAGCAGATCCTTGTGCCAAATTCTTTCAGTGTTCCTTCCCTAGTCATAATGGTTGCCAGTGCAGAATTGTTTAAAAGAAGAGGACAGCATAATCTCCTAGTACCTAGTAGCATCTGGTTAGCCACAAAGTGAAACAGGATCCAGAACAACTATACAGTGTGTGATTTAATGCAGTGTGTTTCAAACTTGGCAATTGTAAGATGATTGGACTTCAACTCCCATGCTGGCTAGAGGATTCTGGGAGTTGAAGCCCACATATCTTAAAATTGCCAAGTTTGAAAAACCCGATGTAACCTATCAGGTTTTTTTAAATAATGTACTATCTTTAGGAGAGAGCAAGAGAAGACATTATTCTAAAAGTCAGCTTTTTGGAATGTGATCCACTAGCTCTTGTAATTCTTCAGCTGAGAATGGAATGGAGGAGGGGGGGGTTCTGCTCCAGCTATATACTTCAAAACAATATCCCCTAGATCAGGGGTGTCAAACTCGATTTCATTGAGGGCGGCATCAGGGTTGTGTTTGATCTCAGGGGATGTGTGGGCATGGCCAGCTCAACATCACTCCGGTCGGGGGCACCTGTGTTGGCCTGAGAGCTCTGCCAGCGAAAATGAAGCTCTGGAGGGATGTACATAGCCCTCCTGAGCTCCGTTTTCGCTGGCAGAGGGTTGCAGGAGGCTGTTGCAGTCAAAAATGGAGCTCGGGTAGGCTGCACGCTGGCGGAGGCGATGCGAGCCAGTCCTTCGCTGTTTCCAGGGTGGCACTGCCATATCTAAGTACCCTATGGGCCGGATTTGGCCTGCAAGCCTTGAGTTTGACACGCCTACCCTAGATTTTTCCAACCTGGTGCCCTCCAACCGAGGTCCTCGTTGTTATATGCTTTTCCCAAGGTTTAGTACAAATCAGAACAACACAATAATTATAGAAATATATTATTATAAAATTAATCGATAATTTAATAGCCAAACCTGTAAACAAAGTTTAAGGGAAACTAGGAATTACAGTCCTAGTACTTCTAGAGTATCCCAGCTTGTAAAGGATTTGTTTGAATGGGCCTTTGTGTGTGTCCCAGGAAGGGAACAGTGCTAATTAGGGAAAACTTGTGTGTGTTTTGTGTGTGTGTGTGTATTGTGTGTGTGTGTGTGTGTGTGTGTGTGTGTGTGTGTGTGTATAATTCATGAACAGAATGTACGGAATGTTTCAGTTCCAATCATTTTAATTTCAGGATCTTCGACCTTGTTTACACACGTGCCTTTTGTCAATATTAGGTACCAGAAACCAGTCTTTGGAACTCTTCAATGACTTGTAAGAAGACGAGTCCAGAAATTTTTAAGACTGAAAGAGAACAAGACTAAATCTAAACCTAAGACCATGATTCCGGGAGCTGTGGGTTCAGCCCTCAAGTATGTGAAAGAATAAAGAGTGCCTCTGAACTTTACTGAACAGTAAAGTACTTTCCCTCAACAATTAGTAACTACATCAAGTGCCTAGGGCAGCATTGTAAAATGAGGGCTGGCAGATTTGTCTCTTGATGGGCCCCACCCTATGTTGGTTAACTCTCAGTTTTAGAATCATTTTGTGGCAACTGGAAATGATTACAAGCCACGATTTCCAAATTCCTGGAAGGATGCTGAAATGGTATTTTAGGAAGTGTTGATAGCAGCCCATCGGACAGTTTCAAATACCAAACCATGCATGGAATGGGGCCCTTTTCAAACAGAGACATGGGTTAATGCCCCATTCCTTCTCCATTTTTTTTAGGTTTGCTGAATCTCCAGGGCCTTATTTTAGAATCATTTACTGCAGAGTCTACATTCAAATGTATGTGGTATTTGTTCTGTCCTTTCAATGAATCAAATCCATATCCGAAACTTTATCAGGCTGACTCCTCTTGTCATCCTCTTGTATAAAATTGAAATTTGTTTAATTATTTAACTTATTATGAAATAATTGTGCTGCATGTATATTAAGAAAAACATAATAAAGCAAGTAGCCATTAAAATTAATTGTGTGATCTGGATATGGACCTAGTCTGACAATACAGATTGGTTTATTTAAGGGAACACCTTCATGTTCAGAAGTGAGTTTTGTATACAACAGTAAATCTTTTTTAAATGTTCCTACTGAAATAAAAATTGTCTTCTTTTCTGGAAGACAATAGAATCTACTATACACAGGGAAAGCAATCATTTTGCTGATATCAGCATTCTGGTGATGGTGTAACACAATCAGCTGAAGAACCCAGCTGCTCCGTGAGCTTTATAAAACCATGATTCTGCTTACATCAGGGGGAAGAGACAGTTGACCTTCCTTGATCTTCAGCCAGGGAACAGAGAAGCTGACGCCCTCTTTGCATCCCTGCCTCCTACCTAGCAAATTTCTGTAAACAGTTTGCAAGCTCCATTTGTGTAATAGAGAGAAAGAGGAGTTGACTTATCCTCCACTTAGAATGGCTTGCAAAACCACCAAAATCTGGTATAGCAAGTTTCATATCCTGCCAATCCCTCAATTCCATATTATACTGTACATGTACAGCTTACATCAATTAGGTGTTCCAGATGTACCAGAATTGCTTATATTGATAGATAGATAACCTTTATTGTCATTTTTTACTGTTGCAGAGATCTTCTGTTAGTTACCTTAGACCAGGGCTGTCTAACCTGCAGGCCGGATGCGTCACGTACTGGCCACGCCCATGCCTGGTTTAGTGAAGGGGGAAAAAGACACAATATATATCACATGACACCGCCATGACGACGCAAGTTTGATACCCTGCATTAGACTTTCTCAGTAACATCAACACCTTGAAACAGGTTGTATCTGAAGTACATCTTTCCTAGACTCATTTTGCATTTAGAAAGGCCCCAAAGCCTATTTTATTTCAGTGGGCCTTAGGACCATAGCTTGATTGTAGGCAATCACAGATGATTTTCATGGTTGTTTTTAATAGAAATATTATAAGTAAATCTTGCTTAATGATAATTCATTTAGTGACTTCACAGCTATGACAGCACCGAAAGAGCTATGACTGATCCTCGCACTTATGACCATCACAGAATCCTGCAGTCACATGATCACCATTTGTGATCTTCCCAACCAGCTTCCAACAAGCAAAGTCAATTAGATAGTCGGTAGGGAAGGTTGCAAGTTGCACTCATGTGATGTCTCACTTAATGACCACAGTGATTTGCTTAATGGCCATGACAAAAAAGCTTGCAAAATTGAGTGTAGCAATATGATGAATCTTAATTTTTTAAAAATAATTTTTATTAAATATTTTTTTAAAAAAAACAAAAAAGAATAACAATTTCCAATAATTTTGCATTGGTAAAACATTTCTTACTTATCAATTTTTTCTCCCTTATTTCAATATATTCTTTATACATATAATTCTAACATTAATTTATTTACATATATACATATAAATAAGTGTACACAATTTCATTTCTACAATCTTCATTTTTTCTGTTTCTTCTTATTTATTATTACATTTTTACTCCTATATCTTCCTTATTTAATCTTTCCTTGCCTTTTATCTCTCTCCTCTAACCACTCATACCATTTCTCCCACACTATATAATATTCTGTTTCCTCTTTTTCTTGTATTGCCTTTGTAAGTTTGTCCATTTCTGCACATTCCAAAACTTTTCTAATCAAATTAAGTCTTAATTTGAGGATTATCAACTACATTTCGTACACTTTTATTTATTTCCCTTGGTGTGCACTACCCAGAGTATAAAAATCTATGGGGAATGGGGAGTGAAATAGGGAACAAATCTGGTGAAATCCAATTTTTTTTACTACCGGTTCTGTGGGCATGGCTTGGTGGGCGTGGTGTGGCTTGGTGGATGTGGCTTGGTGGGCATGGTAGAAGAAGGATACTGCAAAATCTCTATTCCCACCCCACTCCAGGGGAAGGATATTGCAAAATTTCCATTCCCACCCCACTCTGGGGCCAGCCAGAGGTGGTATTTGCGGTTCTCCGAACTACTCAAAATTTCCGCTACCGATTCTCCAGAACCTGTCAGAACCTGCTAGATTTCAGCCCTGGAACAAACTATATATATTGTGACATTGTGATGCAAGCCCATTACTTGTGTATTTGGGTTAGATGCTAAGATACAACTGAACAGATACTGAACATTGGCCCAGATACACTCTATCTGGGATACAGTGATGAGATTCGAAAATTTTTACTACTGGTTCTGTGGGCGTGGCATTGCTGGATGGGTGTGACTTGGTGGGTGTGGTAGGGGAAGGATACTGTAAAATCTCCATTCCCACCCCACTTCAGGGGAATGTTACTGCAAAATCCTGCAAAATTTACTGAACAGCTGGGACTCGGGAGGCAGAGAATAGATGGGGGAGGGGCCAGTCAGAGGTGGTATTTACAGGTTCTCCGAACTATTCAAAATTTCCGCTACCGGTTCTCCACAACTGGTCAGAACCTGCTGAATACCACCTCTGGTATGATTGGGTTAGTGTATCCTCCATTGGGCAGGATTTAAAACTGACACAATAAGGAATAAAGAAACACAACTTTTTCACATGGATTTGACTAATATAGTCAATTTGTCATGAATGTGGGCATTTTGTGGATGAATAGTGAAAGAACCTGGACCTTGATTCATTAATTACTACCAGTCAAAAATAAGTGAAGGAGTGCAATTCCAAACTGTATCAATTTTGTATCTTCCTTTTATATAAGGAGAATCTTCTACAGTATAGGATTTGAATTCTCTCCTTCCACAGTGGCAGAATGATTTACAGACTAGGAGTTTCTTCTTCAAAGTCTATTTCTGCCAATCACTCTGATTTCAGATAAATCACTGTCAACAGTCAGCAATTTGAGGGAAATGATATGTGGTTAGACTACCATACAGGGCTGTTGGGAATATTATTGAACCCTGACCTTTACTAAACTTGATAGCCTATACAAAATCAGATCTGATTAGGATTTGGAATTCCAGGCCTGTGTGTTCATCAGAGAGCATCTGAGAAGAAAGCCTTATCAAACCAATTCTGTCTTGCTGAAAACCGCATGCCTATAACATGCTTTGGCCCTTTTAATGCCCTTTTAAGGGGGAAAGTTCTGTTAGCCCTTATTGAAGAAATCTTATAGAGTCACTCAGGTCCAAAATAGTCTGCAGGCTTCAAAACTCAAAGCAGTTTCCTCAGACTTTCATTTATGATGGGCAATTTGGAGACCTGCACATACTTTTGTAGTGTTGAATTGGCTTGTTTGTGGAATTGTTTTAAAATGGAGATAATCTACAGGAGAAAAAGTGTTCTAGAAACAATTTAAAAATTAAATGCATCTTATAACACATAGACTAAGAGTAGTCATAGAATCATAGCGCTGGAAAGGACCTTGGAGGTCTTCTAGTCCAACCCCCTACCTAAGGCAGGAATCCTGGTTTAATAATAATAATAATGCACTTATATTGTAATAGTATAGAGGTAGTCCTCGACATAGTTTGTTTAGTGTCTGTTCAAAGTTATAACAGTGCAGAAAAAAGTGACTTATTTTACACACTTAACGACTGCTGTGGCATCCCCATGGCCATGTGATCAAAATTCAAAATCTTGGCAACTGACTCATATTAATGGTAGTTGCAGTTTTCCAGGATCATGTGATCAGCTTTTGCAAATTTTGGGCAAGTAAAGTCAATGGGGAAGCCAGATTCACCTAACAACCCATGTTACCAAGTTAACAACTGCAATGATTCACTTAAGGTTGGCAAGAAAGGTCGTAAAATGGGACAAAACTCACTTATCAAATGTCCAACTTAACAACATATATTTTGGGTGTAATTCTGGTTGTAAGTGGAGGACCACCTGTGTATTAAATATGATATAAAATAATAATTATTAAGACCCTATAAAATAGTCCTCCTCCAAGAAGATGTAAGACTGCTGAGGCGCTTAGGCTTAACAGGCTAGTGTACAGTAGTTTCCGATTAATTAGGATTTAGAATCATGCGGCGTTAACCTTACACACCCTTCAGCCTTTGGAGGGCGTCTTTTGCCTGTCTTCCGCGCGCGCCGCGTTACCCAATCACAGTCCTCCTTGGGAGGAGACTCAGGGCGTGTCTCAATGCTTATGCAAAAAGCTGACGTTTATGAACAGCGAGCACCGATGCGAGGAAGGCTTTCGGTTATGCTAATAATAGAACGCTATAGTTTTCTCCTGGACAGTTGATAGGCTCTCAAAATAGAATAGGTGTGGTTTGCATCTCTACATCCTATAGTATTACGCAACGCAGAGAATCCCGGTTCGGACAGCCATGCGTACCGAACTGCGGTGCAGAGATTATGCAAACGAGACGAGGGACAGTGGGCGCGGCTTTGCATAAGAAGATGCAAACGAAGAAGGGCAGGGCGCGTTGCCTGCAAGAAGTCCGGGCAAAGGCGGCGGCCGACACTCGCATCTATTATGTTAATGAGGTCGGTGGGCGGGGCAGAATTGTGAGCTCAGGCTGCGGAGGGGAAAAGGAGTGGGGGGGGGGGGGGGAGCCCCAGGAAGAGGACCCCCCCCCCGGGGCCCCCCCAGCAACGGCAGAAGGAGGAGGAAGCAGAGCTGGAAGGATGCAGAACCCGGGTAGTAGCTGACCCTGGGGGGGGAGCCCGGCCATGGCTTTCCTGGGGGGAGCCCGGCTCCTGGACTGGGCCAGCTCCCCCCGTCATTTGCAATTCAACCGCTTCGTGCTAACGGGCTACCGGCCGGTAAGCTCCGGGTCCGGCTGTCTCCGCAGCCTTTTCTACTTGCACAACGAGCTGGGCAACATCTATACCCACGGTGAGATGCGGCAGATTGTCCTCCCAACCTCATGCTTGCTTCCCTTACCTTCTCACCCCTCCGCTTCCGGGCTCCGGTGCCCTACGATCTCCGTGCCCTCCCTGCAGGGCCGGTCCCCGCGATTTGCCCTGGCCGCCATCCGCGCTTCTGCCCACCCAGATAACCCGGGAATTGCGTGGGGCACAGGGAGGCTTCCCCGCCCGCCCCGCAGCTTTAGCCGGTCCCGGTGTCCTTACATGGCTCCCGTATTTCACAGGATGAGAAAATAAGTGGCAGCAGTGATTTTCGGACGCCGGCCATCCCACAGAGCCAGGATGCCGATCTCACTCTTTCAGGGCCTGGATATGTTATTTCCCACCGGCCAAAGACTTGCAACCAACCCCCTTCTGCTTTTTCCCCGTCCTAAATCTATAGTTCAGTCCATTCAAATATTGAACCTCACTATACTGTTTTTGGCAGCCCTGTGCAGTACAATAGTGATACCGGTGGAATCGCTTAGCCTGCCGGCTTAGCTTTCCTGCACAGCATCCTCAGACACACAACAACCCCAATTGCCAGCCAGCCCTCCTTCAAGGTAGTTGAGATACCAACCTGCCTCTTCTTTGAACACAGATATGTTTTTATCTAGACTTTTTTCAACTTTTTATTGTGCCCCCCCCTTTTTTTTTTGCTGACAAGTGAGGGACTACTACAAGATGGCAAAGAAGGCAAGTTTGCCATACTTGGGGCAAAGTTGTGCAGGGAAGCATGGCCATAGAGTTGTTTGATTGTATGAGTTCAGTGCCTTGCCTTCTCCAGCAAGTTTGCTATGGGAGCCTTAGTTTGGATTCCATGGGCTTCAGTGAGCAAACTGAAGGATTTAGCTTGCACGTTGTATGTTTAAGGCCTAGGGTTCAATCCCTGGCATCTTGGTGTGGATTGATTATCGCCTCTTCTTAACCTTTGGTCTGGTATTTTAGTATGCATCCTGTCCTGGACTTAATTCTGTAGTTTTCATCCCTGATGAAAGAGGTTAAGCAGTGGTGGGATTCAGCCAGTTCGCACCACTTCGGGAGAACCGGTTGTTAACTTTCTGAGCAGTTTGGCAAACTGGTTGTTGGAAGAAATCATTAGGGCAGAGAACCGGTTGTTAAATCACTTGAATCCCACCACTGAGCCTAAGTGAGAATTTAAATGTTGCTAAACCACAATTCTGATCAATGAAAGGAGTTGTTCTTAAGTAGTATTTAGAGGGTTGCAGTATGCCCATTTATCAAAAAGTGAGTAGGAATGGGTTGTTTTAAAATTCTCCTAGGTTCAAGGAAGCAAAGAAAGTGACTAGTCCTCATCATCCCCCCCCCCATACTACATAGCTATGTGAATTGTTTTGTGACATGTTGATCCTGAAGCAAACTTGGCCTTGCCTAGTTATGCTCGGAAAGTCAGATAAATAAATAACGACTGCCAATGAAAAATTCTGACTTTGCAAAACATGACATATATTCAATAGTCTGCACCACTTTCCAATCTGATGTAAGCAAAAAATATTGCAATTAAAATATATGGAGAGGAAAAAAATGCAAATGGAAATAGGTTTATTTCATTTATTTCAAATTGATGAAGCAGATCTACTACACAGAATTCTCCTGCTCCTTCACTTGAGTAGCAGGATCATTTGTATCACTGCTTTGGTACCTTTCCTGAACTTGCTGCCAGCTTGCAATCATAAAAGCAGGGATCCTCATGAATATAGTTTTGCATTGGTGGATCACAAATTAAGGAAATCTGTTTTGGGTTGTCGATTGGAAAAAAAATAGGCATAAGTATCTAAAACATTCTTTCTCATTTTTTGAGAATTCAAAGGATGTTGGGGATAAAGTTTCATTAATTCTTATAACATCTTTGTAAATTAGCTTCATCCCCATATTCCTGATGTTTATGAAAACTTTGTTGTGAGTACTTGGTTGTGGTGATATTTGAAGTGTTGCTCATAGTTTAGTTATTCTATTGCATTAATTTACTGTTGAAGGAAAACCATGGTTTGCAACATATAATTTATCCTGGGGCTTAATCAAGTACTGTATTCAAGGAAATGCTGGTACCTGTTCCTGAAAGTATATATGTACTGTAAGGCCTTTATTTTATGAACCAATTGGGAAGAGGGTGTATGTTTAAATGTATTTAATTACATAACTACATAAATTATACATATTTTTAATGTAATTTATTTAACCTCCCCCCCAAAAAACTTTATGTAGAATGATTCACCAAATTATTGGACTTTATTGTTTAAGGAAGCAATGTATATTCAGATTTTGTTTGCTGCATCCAAAGTAAACTGAATGGAATGGTATGTTTTACTCTTTCATTTTTAAAAAGGTTCTAATGTTAGAAAGAAAACCATGCAGGCAGAAGTCTACAGCTAATTCTGTAAAAACTAAAATCAATGTATCTTAAAAGATTTGTGTAAGCTATTTTTAGATGCATTCTCATATTATCCTCAAAAAGAGCCTTGGTAGTACAGTGGTTTAAAGCACCCTGTTATTAAGACCAGCTGCCTGCAATTACTGCAGGTTCGAATCTCGCCAGGCTCAAGGTTGACTCAGCCTTCCATCCTTTCTAAGGTAGGTAAATTGAGGACCCAGTTGTGGGGGCAATAAACTGACTTCGTATAAATATACAAAAGGATGAAGGCTATTGCTTAGCACATTGTAAGCTGCCCTGAATCTCCGGAGAAGGGCGGCATATAAATCAAATTAAAAAAACAAAAAACAAACTTGGCCCTTCTTACTACAAAAGTTGTGATCCAATTTCAAAATCTAGCTTTTAACTTGAGCATGTAAAGAAATAATACCTATAGGAAATAATGGATGCAGTCACCATCCTTTAGGAATTGTTTGGGGATCCTGTATATGTGATTTTGCTTTCCGTTACGGAAAAGAAGCAGACTGTCAATATACCACATTTATAAAGGGCAGTATTTAAGGTGTTGGAATTGTGAGGTCGGGTTCTAGTCGTCTTCAAAGACAAAAGCTCCCCAGATTACTTAAAATTGGTCATTTACTCTCAGCCCAACCTGTTTGCCATAGTCTGTAATGAGAAACATCGGATGTTTGTGTACCTACCCTAAATTCCTTGGGAAAAGGCAAGGAATTAGATATATTTGTTAGACAGAAATCTAATCACTGAATAAAATAATATAAAATAAAATAAACAAATTAAGATAGGTGCCTTCAAGAACTGAACTTTTGCAGTCTTCTTTAAACAGCAGCCAGTGAGCTAAGCTTATAGGAAATGAATGCATTTTTTGTTGTTTCATTATTTCCTGTGAGAAAATAAGAAGAGCCATGTTTCCACTGTGGGCAAGTGCATTAGTCTGGAATAATAAATAATAATAATAAATAATAAAGGAGTGAAAAGAGAATAAGACTAGTTGTAACAATTTCTTAGGACCTTACAAATTCCCTTTTGCTAGCTGTTCTTGTCAGTTGACCAATAAGGGCAGCCTTTCCTGACCCCTTATGCCTAATCAACCAAAGTGCTCAGGGAAGTTATGCAAAACTGCTGCTTATTGTTGCTTGTTGCAAGGAAAGAAGGAAGTAGAACACTTCCTTTCTTAAACAGTTTTTTTTTTGTGCGAATAGCTTTCCCCATTTTGGCTTCCTTCCAACAGGGAGACTATAGTTCCTTTGTGCTCCTCACCCTACCAGATCACTTGGAGCAAAACAGTATTTCTCACCCTGAGAAACTTTAAGGTGGGTGGACTTCAATTCTGGGATTTCAGGTCCACATATTGCAAAGTTGCTAAGGTTGAGATACATTGATTTAGACAATGCCACCTTAGGAAAAGTTGGCTTAGAGATTCTCAGTTTTTTTAAGGATAGTATTTGTTTGTTTAATTAATTAAGAGTTATTTGTCCTATATAGATTAAGAGATGGTTTTAAGAGGAGATCAACTCTGACTGCTCTTTAGAAGGCCAGATCCTGAAGATGAAACTCAAATACTTTGGCCACCTAATGAGAAGGAAGGACTCACTGGAGAAGAGCCTAATGCTGGGAACGATTGAGGGCAAAAGAAGAAGGGGATGACAGAGAATGAGTTGGGTGGATGGAATCACTGAAGCAGTAGGCGTGAGATTAAATGGACTCCGGAGGATGGTAGAGGATTGGAATGCCTGGAGGAATGTTGTCCATGGGGTTGCGATGGGTCGGACATGACTTTGTGACTAACAACAACAACAAGAAGAGATGTTTGTCTGTGGCCACCACAATTCCTCTTAGGTGTTTTACAAGATTGGGGTTACAAAAGCTTCCCATCTACTTGTGTTAAAGAAATCAAGAATGTGATAGGACCTTTTCCACCTTACAAAATATATTAAGAGGCATAAGCACTTGTGAGCTGCAATACATGCTTAAAAATGTGTGTTCTGCCAAGCTCCTGATTTTATGGCCATCATAGATTAACCAGCTCTCCTATCATATCTACAACATAGATGGTGCATATTAATTTGCACAAAACAAGAATCTGTGGGTTGAGGCTGAATCCTCGCTGAAACTGTTTCCAGAGTGTTCCTTTCTTCCCTAGATACACTTTGTTTAAATGGACCTATTTCAATTTACTCGAGTTGATGCTATCCCCATCACCAATCCCAAAGTGCATTTTTCAAGTGTATCTTGGTCATCAGAAATGTTCAACAAACCAGAATGTAAGAATCTGGTTACCCTGAAGTCTTTTGGAAAAATAGCATATCAATTGCTCTAAAAGCATCCTTCTTGAATAGTAAGCTTTTCCTTGATGTTCCTGAGCTGGTCAACAAGAGCATCGTAATGAGAAAGGGCAATGTTGTCAGTCCATTGATGTCAAATGAGGGCAAGGAAAAACAAGAGAACAGAGGAGCAGTTGTAGTTGCCTGAGCGTGTTGAATGGCATTGGTAAAACACAGCAGTAAGCATTTGCAGGATAGATAACTTTGAACAATATATGTAGCAACTTCTGAAGTTCTCAGAAAACACCCAGGGCA